CTCCCCAAAGTGGCAGCATGCACCCCTGACTTCCTCCAGGAACCTGTCAGTTCTCTGCTCCTTGTCTGGCCTCTATAGTCAGTGGGAGAGCTCTTAAAGGCACGGCCCAGACCCTTCTGTATATATTCCCAAGACAATAAATAACTCAAGAAGTAGCTGATGTTACTTTTTATTGAGATAGAACAGAATACATGTACTGCATACTGGTGCATTTGGAAAGGAATTAAAGGAGTTACAGTTGCTTAGCTGTTCAAAAAATGTCCCAGAATAATTCTCCATTTGCCCCTTGGGACTAGCACACTGAGGGGGTGTCACTTGGACAAAGCCAACCTTCTAAAGTTTAGGAGCTCTACAAGGGGATGGGGGTGGGAGAAAGGGGGTTGAGTGGCACAGCCTGTCACAGGGTCCTCTATGCCTTCTGGCAGCTGGACTTCACTAAGGAGGTCTTGCCCAGCCAGGGGACAGTGTATATCTGGAAAGAGCAGAGCGTTTTCTGCGAAAGGGAAGAGAGAAGGATAGTTAGGGTTGCAATGGAAAAGGAACATGCCCAACCTCAAGGTGTCAGAAGTGGGGGTGAGGAAGGGTGGTGGTGGGATTCTCAGTCCCCACCCTGCTGACGCCCAGAACAACAAACAGGGGTTGGCAGTGACCTCTCATTTGCCCTACCCACCCTGTAAGTCCAAGACGTAAGATCCTGCCCCCTGACTCCAACCAGCAGTATCCCACAAACTCATCCCCTTGCACATCCCTTTAAGGAGCAGCCTGTGCAAGATCAGAGCCCCTGAGGGACAGGGTGCTGCCCCCAGGTCCCCTGCACCTCCAGTGGGCGAGCACTAAGACAGGTGCAGCAGGGAGGATCGAGGGGCTAGGATCAGAGTTCTGAAACACGTAAAGACACAGAATGGGGTAGCTATGGGGAGAGTGTGCCCCCCAACCCCAAGGCCTTCCCTATGAGAGAGACTAGTATTTGGTGAGCAGGGCAAGACCAGAGGATCTAGGCTGCTTACAGACCTCTAATTCCCTCTAATCTGTTCAGGTGGCTGAGGCTGGGATTAAGGGTTCATCTCTTTCCCCAGCAGGGGATTAAGGGTTCATCTCTTTCCCCGTAGCTGCTCCTTATCCCATAGGCCACAACCCACACAGCACATGGTGCCCCAATTCACCAGCTAAAACCCACTCAGAAACTCAAACTGGTCATGTGCACACACATACGCCCTTCCCCCACGTGCACCCTGACACATGCACACCCACACCCCCAGCACTCACACACCATGTGCCCCACAGGCACATACCATCATCAGGTGTGGCTGGTCATGAAAGGGACAGCTGTCCAAGTTGGGCTGAGACTTTGTACATCTGGTTCGTCCGATCTCCACCTCCAAGAAGTAGTTCATCCCAGCCACGACCTGCACATGTCAAGAACATAACCTGTTTACAACACTGACCAATTTCGTACACGGGTACCTTCTGCTACTAAGCCCTTATGCCAGAATTCACTGCTGTCAAAGCAGGTATCCCAGAAAACCAAAGGTACCTTTTGAGGGCTGGTCCACTCACCATCTGACTTTTCAAACACGGCAGACAAGTCTTTAGGATCAGCAACTTAGGTTCCCCCCTCTCCCCTGCGTGACTACCAGAAGCCACCACAGTGGGAGGCCTGGGTTACCTTTCAGGTGTCCCAGAAAACCAAAGCCACCTTCTGAAGGCCGGTCCAGCAACTGGGCCCAGACCCTCCTTGTAACTTGTTCAAAGAAGGGCTCCAGAAGGTCTCAGGCATCCTGGCAGGAGGAGAAGCAGGAGACGGAAAGTGGAAGCCAGGGACCAGCATGAGTGTTGAGTAACAAACTCTCCAGTGCCGGGAGCCAGGGTTGGGTCTGAGCACACAGCCAGGGCTCTGTGCTGGAGCAGAGTGGGTCTGGCTCAGGAAGACAGTTGTTATACACTTAAGCTAAATCCAATTAATAGGGTCAACCCTATAGATCTTCACATTTCTGCAGTGTAGCAAACGTTTATGTATTCCCTCATTTCACAATAGGAAATGAGAGCCTTTCTCTCATGCATCCGTGTGCTCATACACACACACATGCACACGTTTTAGGCTAATTAAGACACTGCCCCTGGAATGCCTACCTTTTTAGTATCATTTTTTGTTTTAAGAATTTTAAATTTATTTATTTGACAGAGAGAGTGCACAAGCAGGGGTAGCTGCAGGCAGAAGTAGAGGGAGAAGCAGTCTTCAGGCCAAGCAGGTAGCTCGATGTGGGGCTCAAGCCCAGGACCCTGGGATCATGACCTGAGCCAAAGGCAGATGCTTAACTGAGCCACCCAAACGTCCTTAAGTGTGTGTGTGTGTGTGTGTTTAAAGACTGCATTTATTTATTTGATAGAGACAGACACAGCTAGAGAGGGAACACAAGCAGTGGGGAGTAGGAGAGGGAGAAGCAGACTCCCCACTGAGCAGGAAGCCCAATGTGGGGCTCAATCTCAGGACTCCGGGATCGTGACCTGAGCTGAAGGCAGATGCTTAACGACTGAGACACCCAGGCGCCCCCTTAACTATGATTTTTTATGGGAGCATTTCTGAAGTGTATCACATACCTGTCTTTTACACCTGAAAATATAGGATAGAAGCATACCAGAATTCCAGGACAGGCTGGCAGAAGCAGGGGTCAGGAGCAGTTCACCCACCTTATCCTTTGGGTGTTGGTGATGGTGGGGCCATACTGGGGTAGGGAGTATGATGGCCTACATGAGAGGCTGCTCCATGGACGTGCCCTGTGGAGGGAAGTAACACTCCAGGGGCCTTTCCACCAGCATGTCTGGACCAGTTTGAATTCATATGCCTGACCCTCTGCTCTGAGATGCACTGAGTATCACAGGCCAGCTCATCGACCCATCTGTGTTTGCTGACAGCCTCTGGGTGCTCAGGGAGGATGTTTGGTGTGGGCCCCAAACTCTTGCAGATTGAGGATATGGAGGATAGGTTAGTTTAGTGGCACCTGTTGAGAGGAGGCTTGGAGGAGAACGGGCCTCTTCTGAATCACCTCAATCACTTTCAGGTTTCCTTGGAGAAACCCAAACTGAGACCCAGTATGCACCAGGACTGGCTGGATCCTTCAGAAATGTCAAGTTCATAGAGGGAGGGGCTGCTCCAGAGTAAAGAAAGTTGCAGGACAGTGGTTGCAGCACATGGCCTGGCAGTCTTGGGCTATAAAGGACATCAGTGGGACAATCAGTGACATCTGAGTATGGGTTATTCATCTGGTAACTGTGTCAGGGTTGGTTCTGATTTCCAAAGCGTTATTGTGGGTATGTCGGAAAATACCCTTGTTTCTACGAAATACACACTGAGGTGTTAACTCTCCAAAGACTCAGGAACAAATAAATATATCCCCGTACACACACATATGTGACCCGTGTAAAGCAAAATGGCAAAATCTTTAACATATAAAGAAACTAGGTACAGAATCTACAAGGCTTTTATGCACTATTTTTGCTACTGCTTTGTAAGTTTGAAATTAAAAGTTAACAAAAGTGCTTAAAAAATCATTTAGTGGCAGGGCCGGGAGGGCAGTCAGGTGTGGGGTCCGTTTTTCCCTCGCCCGTCATTTATTTGACAGCTCAGAGCCTCAGGATCCCCAGACGCTGGGCGCGAAAGTAAGGGAACTGCATGGTGCCCCGACCTCCACACCGCTGCCTCTGGCCAGGATGGAGTTTGAAAACACAAATGAAGGCCATGGGGGTGACCCGGTGTGCCAGCTGGGACCCAGGCACTCCGGGTGACAGGCATGCGTAGGGCAGGCTGTGGGCGACCAGAAAGACCAGGGACACCGCCCGCTGAGGAGCAAGGGAGCGTCCGCAGTCCCCACCCAACCTCTAGGGGCTCGGAGACTGATCCCTCCAAGATGCTGGGCGAACCCGTAGGGGCCGGGCTGGGGATGCCGGGTGGCTGCGCCCCGAACTCAGGGCCGCCCCGCTCCCACAGCCGGGTCCGCGGCACCCGGGGGTACGCACCTGCTTGCGGACGCGCACCACGCGCATTGCGCGGCTGTGGTACGCGTCGTTGCTCTCCTTGTTGTACTCGCTGAGGGCGAAGTTCAGCGCCTGCTGCACGCCCTCCTCGTTGACGTCGGCGTCCAACAGGCCGCCCACCATTGGAGACTTGCCATTTTTCCTGCTTGCCCCGGGACCCAAGGCCACAGCCAGGGCCTGGGTCAGGGCCAGGGCGGCCAGCAGGAGCAGCAGGGTGCGGAGGTGCCCGGCCATGGTGTGCTCCGAGGCGAGTGAAGCTCAGGAGGCGGTGATCCAGCAGCTGCGAGCAACACCCCACTTCGCCGCCGCGATTTTATTCCCCCCGCCCCGCCCTCGGGACTCCGGACCCACCCCGGCCCCGCCTCTTCCTCCCCCGCTCGCCCCCTCCTCTTCCTCCCCCGCCCGCCCCTCCCCGGGACCTTATCCGGCCCCCGCGGAAGTCCTGCCCTTTCTCCGAGGTCCTACTTCTGCTCCTTGTGCTCATCTAACCCAGCTCCTCCCTCCCAGTTCCAGCCCTCTGTTCTGAGTCGGTGCCCCCACTCTCCCATCTCCGGGCCTTATTTCCGCAGGTCAGGCTCTTTGTCCCTCCTCCAAGCTCCGCCCCCTTCCCGGCGTCTCCCATCTAAGTCCCGCCCCTCTGCTGTGAGCCGTTCTTGCCTCCCCCAAGCCACGCCCCCCAGCTTCTCCGCCCCAGATGAGTGCGTCCTTCGCATCTCCTCTGGCGGTGCCCTGACTCTGGCTCCTCCTCGCCAGTCCTAATCAGGCGCTGGTGGTGCGTTCCCAAGTCCAGTCCAGTGTAGAAGGTGTCACTCCTCCCAGGGCCTGCAATGCTTGTAGGAGAAAGGAGAAGTAGCGCTCTGGGCTTCTTGAGTGTTGAGCCTTGGGTCTAAGTGTAGGAATCCCCAGAGTAGGAGGTCGGTTTCAGAAGCTAAGGAAGACTCTGCGCTCTGTTCTGGGGAGTTCTTTTGCAAAAACCTAGATGAGTTAACCTTTATTTGGAAAAAGATCTTCGGGTTCTCTTTTTCACAACTCATTTATTTATTCAACCAACAAACCTTTCTGGAACTTCTGCCTAGCCACGAGGTCTCCAGCCCGTACATGAAGAATGGGCTAGTGAGCCTTGGACTTGTTGTCACAGGGCAACTGCCCAATGGAGATGCAATGTGAACCATGTGTGACTTTGCATTTTCTAGTACATTAAAAGGAAGAAGACATAGGTGAGAGTGAGTTTAATATTTTTTATTTAACCCAGTATATCCAAAATATTATTTCAACATATACAAGCAATTGTTTAATGAGATATTTTTATGTCTTTTGTGTATGTGCTAAGTACTTGGAATCCTGTGTGTACGTTTTACACACACAGCAGGTGTCAGTTCAGACCGGTCCCATTTCAAGCACCCCATGGCCAAGTGTAGCTGGTGGCTGTGATATTGCATAGGTTTAGGGTGTGTGTGTGGGGGGGTGGGGAGCAGTGATCAGTAAATACCATTAATGAGTGATAGGTGCTCTGTTGGAAGCGAAATAGAGGGGGTTGATAGAGGTGTTACCTAACATGGTCAGGGAGAACACAGGTATTTCAGCCAAAACTCAGCCTGCTGAGACTAGGGAGAGACACTAAGAAGACATGGTAGCTGGGTACCAGGTGGGCTAACAGAGCACCCAGCTCAGGACTGTGTAGGTCTGTGCTCTAATATAGCTGCAAAAGGGTGTGGGCAAAGGCTGTTTTAGTTATACAGAAAGGAGGAGATACACAGAGCAGGGTAAGAGAGGACTTCCCCTGGCCAGGTACTACTAGTCCTACTACTACTACTACTACTACTACTACTACTACTACTTCTTCTTCCTCCTCTTCTTCTCCTTCTCCTCCTCCTCCTCCTTCTTTTTCAAAGATTTTATTCATTTATTTGAGAGAGAGCCAGAGAGAGAATGAGAGGGAGAAGCAGATGCCCCACTGAGCAGAGAGCCCGATACAGGGCTTGATCCTAGGATCCTGAGATCATGACCAGAGCCAAAGGCAGACGTTTAGCCAACTGAGCCACCCAGGCGCCCCCTGGCCAGATACTTCTGAGCAGGAGTGGCTGTCTTCTGAAGGTGGGGATTAGTTCTAATTGTGGTTTCTCCACCCACGCAGGACAGCTGGAGCTTCCATCTTAGGAGGGTATGTCACACAGAGGGTAGGCTGAAATGTAAGGGATCCTCTTATCTTCCTTCCCCTCATGGGGAAGGAAGTGCAGGGCACCCAAATAGCCAGAGCATGATGGCTGATGTGAGTGTGGTGGAGAGTTGTGTCTTGACGCATGCCGCTGCATGTTGGTTACACACTGCCTATTCGTAATTCTCTGTTAGGACTCTGGCATGTGCCACATCCCTAACCCTAACAGAGGGTACCTACCGAAGATACCAGGGCATCCTGCAGTGTATCAGGTAAGAAGTGAAAGGCTGCACATCTACCCCAGCCATTTGAATGACCTTGGGTAAATGTAACAGATTTGGAGAGGTGGGCTTCTTTGTTAATAACAGTGTCTAGGAGTCAGAACCCACAGAGATGAGCAGGTGGCAGTGGTGATTCTTCAACCTGGTTTAAAATGATGGAGCAGCCCTCATCAGTAGCCCACAGCTTCAAGTATAAGCTAGCAGAGACCTAGACAGAAATAGTAAGCTCAAGACTGAGGCATGGGGCTTCCAGCACCCATGCACCGTGGAGAAAAGAGCACATGTGTCCAGGAGGCGAGCATGTTTCTCTTCTGCCAGATGAAGGGAAAAACCCTGTTTCCACAAGGCTGCTCATGTGGCTGTTGATCCCATGATCTGAACTAGTAGAGAAAGAAATTAAGTGAGAGAGTGACAGACGTTCTCTGTAATAAATAATAAGCAGATATTCAATAATGCTATGATAAATAAATGACCAAGTGCATAAAACGTTGCCTGTAGGAGCAAGTGATTATATCAAGTTGACCCAGAATGGAGCTTCTGAACATTTGGGCTTCTAAACTTGCGCTTAAACCTTGGTGTAAAGCACTTAGGGCTCTGATAGGGATTGATGCCATGTCATTATGAAACTGATACTTACAGGTAAGCCTGTTGGCAGCCCCCATAGAAGGAGGCAAGAGAGAGTACAGTGGTCACTATCTGTTTTACATTTGCGTAAGAGAATCTTTTGGAAGCTTTTGCCCAGGGTCCACTGTGTAAACAATCCCCACTGCTTTACAATACCCTTTACTTTCACAGCAGCACACTGACCAGAGCAGCTCGGGTGTCTGCAGCACCTCAGCCAAGGGGGTGGGGGCTGGGAGAGGACATCCAGGGACATAGGTCAGTTGCTTGTGCAGCTGGGTGCTCTGAAGTCTCTCTGGGCTACAATCCTGGCAGTAAGGAAAATAAGACGGATTTGAGTCAAGTTGAGCAATACCCTTGACATTTCTGCTGTGTGGTCAGTTTCCTTTTCTAATTCATGGTGAGGCTGTTGCTCTGCCTTTCCTCTCAGTGTTTGTGCAATTGAGTTCCAATTCATTTACCAATCGGCACAGGGCAGAGGAGGGATTGTCCTTCCTGCCTGGGATAGCATTGGAACTGGTGCACTGGATGTTGGATCTTGACCTCTGAGGCCACTGAGGGCAGCCCTGTCCTCTTCTGTCCCTTGGTTTCCCTTCCTGCCACTCACAGAGGAGCTGGACCTAGTGACAAGAACTGACTGAGCTTTAGTGATGTTCCTCCAAGCTGTCTCTCCACTAAGCTTGGGCCTTGCCCAGGCTTGTCCCTGGCAAGGCCTGCTAACCCTGTCCTAGTGAGAATCCCCCAACCTTGACATCTGGTTAAGTTCATTGTCCCCAGCTTTAATGTCTAGTCCTTTGCGAGAGTCTTTTTAGGTCAGTGTAGCAAGAATTTACCACCACTGTCCCGCCTTGGCTGTAAATCCCCATTTGTCTTTGTTGTCTTCAGAGTTGAGCTTGGTGTTTCTCTCCTGTTTGGATAATTGTGATCCCTATTGCAATAGTATTGAATAAAGTCTTCCTTAACATTTTAGTAAATGTCAGAATAATGTATCTTTAACACTGGGACCAGCCAGGCCAGTGCTCTGTGCTACCACTGGTTTGACTGGAGCTTAGTGAAAATATTGTTGCCAAGTAGGAGCCAAGGGGCCTGTGATACTGGAGGGGAGGAAGAAAGGGAGGCGAGATGTGGAAGGGCAGATGGGGAGGGGAGGGGAAGGAAGGGCCTAAGGTGAGGTGGGGAGGTTGGGAGAGCAATGCATTTTCCCTGTCATTGTATTATGATCATGTTCAAACATGCAACAAAGTTAGAATTTTATCTCCATCATCCGTATTCCCACCACCTGGATTCTAGCATTAATATTGTACTTTACTTATTTATCACATGTCTATTCACCTGTCTATTCTCTATTCATCCATCAACCCCTCTTATTTTCATGCATTTCAAAATAAGGTAAAGACATCAGTATAATCTCACCTCTAAATGCTTAAGCATGCATAACATGAACTAGAGGACATTTATTTATAGATTTTTCATTTGTTGTAAAATTTACCTATAGTAAAATGCACAAATCTTAAGTGTACATTTACTTAATTTTGACAAATGTGTAGCCCTGTGTAACTTATCCCCTGTCAGGTACAGAGCATGACCGTCAACCAGAAAGTTCCTTCATTCTCCTTCCCAGTCATTTTGGGCCCTTATCCCTAGAGACAATGGCTGCAGTGATTTTATTTTATTTTTCACTGTAGATTAGTTTATAATTTTGGTTCCAAACCACCACAATAAAGCAAATACCAAAATAAAGTGGGTCAAATGATTTTTGTCTTTCTTTTTTTTGGTTTTCCAGTGCATATAAAATTTGTTTCCACTATACTGTAGTCTATTAAGTGTGCAACAGCATCATAGCTAAACATAATATATGTACCTTAGTAAAAAATACTTTGTTGCAAAGATTATTAATTGTCTTCTGAGCTTTCACGAGTCTATCTTTTTGCTGGTGAAGGGTCTTGCCTCCATGTTGGTGGCCGCTGACTGATGAGGATGATGGTTGCTGGAGGCTGGGAATTTCATAAAGTAAGACAGCAATTAAGTCTGCTGCATCGATGTCCATCCTACTTTCACAAACGATTTCTCTGTAGCACGCGATGCTGTTAGATTGCATTTTACCCACAGTAGAACTTTCAGAAGTGGAGTCAATCTCTCAAACCCTGCCGTTGCTTTATCAACTAAGTTCATGTCATATTATAAGTCTTTTGTTGTAATTTCAGCAATCTTCACAGCATCTTTACCAGGAGTAGATCCCATCCCAAGAAACCACTCTCCTGGCTCATCTGTAAGAAGCAAGTGTGAAAGTTTTATCATGAGATTACAGCAACTCAGCCACATCTTCAGGCTCCAGCAGTAACATCAAAGATCACTAATCAAAGATCATCATAATGAGTCTGATCATAATGAAAAAGTTTGAACTATTGTGAGAATCACCAAAATGTAACACAGAGACATGAAGGGAGCAAATGCTGTGGGAAAATGGCTCCAACAGACTTGCTCCAGGCAGAGCTGCTGCAGACCTCCAGTTTGAAGAATGCGGTGACTGGGAAACAGGATAAAGCAAGGTTTGCCTGGTTGGCACGGGGAGTCTCCTCTGGAAGTCTTAGGAAGGTCTGAGGCACAGGAATGAGGCCTGACTGCCACAATGAGGAGGGCAGCCCTTGATTACTTAGAATGGTTGCTTCAGTTTCTCTTTCTTTTTCCTTTTTAACTTGAAACAGCTTCCTCCCGTCTCCTCATCTTCCCTTCCCTGCTTTTCTCCTTTCCTCCCTCCCTCCTTCTCCTTCCTTCCCCCACCCCCCAAGCTATTTTTAATTTTTGGAAAAAAGTCAGCACCACGAGGTGAGGAAAACATGATTTTGAAAGACAGCAGATTTATGCAACTCTCCCCCATATTTGGAAATAAGAATTTATTTTTTAATCCAATGAGCACAATGTATTTAGTATAAAAACAAATGAGAACACAAAGAAAAGTATAAAGAATATGGATTCTGTACGTGTGTGTCCCTGGACCTGTATGTACTGAATGCACAGTTGACCACGCCGATCTCATGTGATGATTGTAATTCAATGCTGCTTTTTTGCATCGTCATTATGTCAGGAACATTTTCTTTCTCTCTTTTTTTTTTTTTTTTTAAGATTTTATTCATTTATTTGACAGAGATCACAAGTAGGCAGAGAGGCAGGCAGAGAGAGAGCAGGGAGCAGAGAGCCCTATGCTGCGGATTCGGGGCTTGATCCCAGGACCCTGAGACAATGACCTGAGCTGAAGGTAGAGGCTTAATCCACTGAGCCACCCAGGTGCCCCTGTCATGAACATTTTCATGTGTTAAATCATCTGGGAAAGCTCTAGCAACTACATGTCTAAGTTGCTAAAGTTAGCTATTAATAAATAGGTTATCAATCAATCAATCATATTTATTAGTAACTATTCAATTAGTTATTCCATAGCTTAACTTTCTTTCTAATGCTAGACCTTTAGGTAGTTCACAGGCTTTTTTTTTTTTTTCCCTAAAATGAGTAATAATAGGATACACACTATTATAGGAAAAAACAGCCTCGGTACCTATTTTGGATTATTTTCTTCCTAGAATTGAAATTACCATGTCAGGGAATGAGAATTTCCTGTCCCCTTCTAGATCTTTCTAGCTGAACTAATAATCAAACTGACAAGATAGATTTACAGGAGAAAATCAAATTTAATTTTGTCTGTATGGGGAGTCCACACAGATAAGAAAATTCCAAAGATGGTCAGGCAAACTGAAGTAGCTACATCATCTTGAATTCAGGAGAAGGGTTAGGGTCTAGGACTTCAAAAGGAAAGAATATTATCCTCAGAAAGACTGAGAAAGAACAAAAGTTTGGTAACATGTTCGCTCGGCCCACAGAAACAATGGGACACAGAACGTGTAAACCAAATAGGCCTTGCTAGGTACCTTCCCATCATACCTAGTTAATATCAAAATCTAATTATTTATGGTGGTAGCTCTCTGCTTACAGCAGGCTTTCTCTCTAAATTCTTTTTAGGTAGTTGTAGGGGAAGCAAAGAGTTTTCCTCAATATGCTAGGTTTTGATTTTTTTAAATATTTTATTTATTTATTTGACAGAGAGAGAGATATCACAAGTAGGTAGAGAGGCAGGCAGAGAGAGAAGGGGAAGCAGAGAGCCCGATTCGATGTGGGGCTTGTTCCCAGAACCCTGAGATCATGACCTGAGCTGAAGGCAGAAGCTTAATCCACTGAGCTACCCAGGCACCTCTTTTGATTGTTTTTTAACTCAAAATAATCTTAATTGCAAAGTGGTCCATATTGGAGTGGCCTGTCCTTGGTCCCTATAAAGGTTACAAAGAATTTCAGTTACAGACTGTCAAAGTTCCTTAAAAAGATATGTCTGACTTAACCCAAGTTAGGTACTGAAGAGAAAATTCTCGATCGACAGCAGCATCTTGTGCTTCATTTTACTTAATAATATCTGCAAGTGCTGTTGTCCTCCAAAGTTCAGGCTGGGCCTGAGTCCCCTGGTGGTGCCCCTGAGGGCCTCTTCTTCCTATTACTACACTCTTTGACCTGAGTCATTATCATCATGGCAGATCCACCCAGCACTCATTTATCCTCCATAAAAATTGCTATCAGTTCCCTGACTATGGCATGATTTATCAATCACTGATCCAGTAAGTACTCATGGCACACTGGATGTCAGGTACTGACTTTAGAGATCTAAAAGCTCAGGTCCTGCCCTCCCAATGTCCTGGGTCTGATGAGGAGAAACACATATAAACAGGTACTTAAACACAACACACTGTCCCAGATTGCAGGGAGACAGAGAGCAGGGATCCAGATTCTGCCTAGGGTATCTCTCAAGGGCTCTCTGAAGGTAGATTAGAAAGGGCAGTATGATCCTGATTCTTTTCTTATTCTGAAACATCAGAAGTGTTGTTTATCTCTGCTGGTCTACATGTGAAGAATTTTAGGTCTGGCCTCCTCCTTGAGAATCTCATCCAGGCCTATCCTAAGGGGTTCACCCAGGCTCAGGCCTTGTACCTCTTTTTACCTCTAGGTGCACCCCTCCCCTCAGAGTCTGGTTCAGTCTCGTGGCTTTAATACCATCTCCCCCACAGGGCCCCCACCAGGCCCCCACAGGGCCACCAGATAACTCCAGCTCAAACTGCCACCCTACCTCCTGTAATGGTGTGATTTATAGTAAGAGATGTGTATTTGGTTTTAGTCCTTGATTCTGGAACAGAGCTCCTAAAACCTCCGTTTCCTAAGTGGTAAGAGCATGCAGGTGTCTCTTGTTATGTTAATGGCTTTTGGACCCCCACCTAAGGAAGCCAGGGACCCAACCATGTGATTAGAGGGCTGGAACTTCCAGTCACAACTTCCCAGGGAGGAAGGACAATGGGAGCTGAATGAGTTTGCCACTGGCCAACGTTTTAATCATTGATGACAATGCAATTAAGCCTCCATAAAAACCCAAAATGGTAGAGTTTGGAGAGCTTCCAGATTGATGAGCACCTAAAGATTCAGGGAGAAGGTGCACCTGGAGAGGGCAGGCTCCATACCCTTTCCCCCCATACTTTGCCCTATGGATCTCTTCTATCTGGCTGTTTCTGAGTTGTCTTTTTATTCAAAACAAAACAAAATAAACAAACAAAAACATTGAATGACAATGTTACTCTGGATTTCGTGAGCCATTTTAGCAAGTAAATAGAATCCAAGAGGGGGTTGTTGAAACATCCAATTTCTAGAAGGTTGGTCAGAAGCACAGGTGATAACCTGGACATGTGACAAGCATCTGAAGTGAGGGGTGATGTCTTGTAGGACTGAGCCTTTAACAATCACCAGGTAGATTGTTAATTAAGTTAAATTATAGGACACCCAGCTGGTGTTGGAACTCGGCTTGGTGGTGTAGAGAAAAACAAACAAAAAACCCCCACATATCTGAACTGGTGACCAGAATTATAAATTGGTACCAGAACCTACCTCCAAATCTGTCTGATGGCCTTTCTGCTTGGGTGGCCCAAGCTACCCAAGCTGGTCATACCCCAAACTACACTGTGGATTGTGTACCTCCCTCTAACACTCAGGTGTTCCCCATTTCAAATAAGGGCAGTTACTAAAAGATCGATGAAACCCTTCCTGACCTCACTCTTTAAAATTGTGATACCTTGAGGCACCTGGGTGGCTCAGTGGGTTAAAGCTTCTGCTTTCGGCTCAGGTCATGGTCCCATGGTCCTAGGATCGAGCCCCGCATTGGGCTCCACGCTCAGCGGGGAGTCTGCTTCCTCCTTTCTCTGCCTGCTTCTCTGCCTACTTGTGATCTCTGTCTGTCAAATAAATAATAAAATCTTAAAAAAAAAATTTTTGACACCTGCCCTCTGCCCCTGCCATTCTCTACCTTCCCATTCTCCTTTCCTGGTTTATTTTTTCCATTGCACCTTCTGAATGGCTAATTTATATTTTTCTTCTTTTCTCTCTCTACAACTAGAATGTAAACTTGATATTTTGTCTGTTTTGTTCACTGTGATTCTCAGTGCATGGCACATAAAAAGGATGAGTGTTAGCTGCATTAATAAATGAACTGGAATAGCTCTTGTTACTGATTGGTCTATCATAGCCACTGACTCAGGGAATGAACAGGTGAGCTCTTGGTGTACTGCCATGGCCATTGTTCTATATTGGGGAGTCCTGAAGGGGCTGGACAAATTGAAAGTGCAGCTCTTGGCTAGGTTTGCCAACACTGTTGTGTTGGAACTTTGCAACAAACTCGGATATACTCATTGCAAGAGAAGCCAATAGCTCAAGAGACAAGGGTTTAGAAAAGAGAAAATGAGAGATTTATTTCAGGTGTTATCATCCAGAAGTGGTGGCAGGCTCAAACCTTAACATCAGACCTCCCACCAGCAAAATGGATACTTACAGTTTTGTAGAGAGAGGTTCAGAGAGGTACTTGCAGAGAGCACGTCACCATGGGTGGGGTTGTACGTGCTTAGCCCAAGATCTTGGGCAGAGAAGGGGGCTGGTGGGGTATGGTCTTCTAGGCATTTCCTCGCTATCAGGGCTTTTCTGGTCTGGAGGTTGGGACATTTTGGTCATTGCAAAACAGCTTTGTCAATGCCTCAAGAAAGTGCGATAAGAAAGAAGCACAATGGGTTTTTATTAGAGCATGAGTTAAGCAGTTTTATTTATTTCTGTTTTTTTAACTATCAGGGCCTAGAGTTGAGCAAGAGGGTTTGCTGACACTCTTAAGCTTGTTTTTGTTGTTTTTGAGAAATTGATGTCAACATTTCCTTCCATT